TGCTAGGATTACAGGCGTGAGCCACCGCGCCCGGCCTAGATTTCTTAATATAGCATATCCTATTTCTACTAACAGAACGTGTTAGTCTACAAATTTTACAACATACTGAATTGTGTCCCTATTTTACAAAGATTAAATGCTCATATGAACCTACCAATATGTAATCTCAAAAAAAGTAGGTAACAATAGATAAATTCCCACCACATTCTCTTTTGCAGCTCTGAGGGCCAAGAGAAGAGCACATGCTTGGAAACATTATTAAGACCATCTTGTAATTTATAGCCTTAAAAAATGCCTAGTTTATTTAGTCACATATGTTATTATTTCTGAGAAGAGTGTTATAAACACACATCTAATAAGAACACTCGCATACTATTCAGCAGGCAGGCATGCAATTTAAAATTGTCTTGAGTCTAAACATGGAATTAAACCACAAACTAGATATCAAGAATTTAAAACTAAGCAAGTTGAGAAGATGTAATGTATCTATAATTACCAACCTTAGTACCCTGTATTTCATTAGTGGGAAATGTAAATAGAATGATGTCATGTAGGCAAATAAAATTCACGCTCATGTTCCTCTATTGACTGTTTTATTCTACTGACTGATTCGAATGTTAGATCTTGGACGGTAATCCCTTTCACTGTGACCATGTGCTCTGGGAATCTTCAGACAGAATCCTTCCAATGTGCTTCCTTCCCTGCTTTTCATCAGGCATGCTGAATACCTAGACCACAGGTGACTGCACAATGTGAGCTCATTTGACCAGCTATCCTTAGTACTAAAAGGCCAGACTGAGTGATTGAGAACCAAAAGTGCCTAAGATAACACCATTTTTAAACGTCTATGTTGTCTTTATGATACAACAACAACTTTCAGTTGATGACATTCCATTCTGTCTGTTCATGATGTAAGTGGAAAATACACACAAACACATGCAAACACACACACAAAAAAATGCCAAAAAGTTACAGGTCATTTTCTATACACACAATAATTTTTCAATTTACCAAATTCCTATAGTGAAGTCCTAATAACACATAAGTTATTTTAAAGCTAAATTTTATACTGAGATACACTGGTTAAGAAAAAGCAATATAATATGTTCTAAAAAGATACAAATAAACTTGAAATCACTTACTTTCTGCTCAGGGTTTTCCTGAAACATAAGTCCAAAGTAGTCCTTCTCCAAGAGATTGAGGTGTTCACATACTTTGTCAAATAACACTTGTCCCTTAGCATGTTTCTGGAGGAAAAAAATAGCATTTTTATTTTTCAAGCACTAAAGATTCCATAAGTACTGTAAGTAAAGGACAGCATATCAGATACATGATTTACTGTAACTTACCATGAAATATTTTTCTAATTTTCTAATATAAAAATGATTCATAATCTTTTTCACTTTAGCCCTTGCACCCCACACACACATACAAAGCATAAAATCTAAAATGAAATCATGGTCAAATACCCTCTGCTTTATTGATATTCTATGTAAATATAAAAAGGACTAAAAAGGCAAAATGCTAGCAGTTCACTTACTTATTTTAAAAATAGTACAAAAATATGTTCAGACTGCTCCGGTGGCTCATGACATATCTACAAGGTATAGTCCTGGGGAAAATCATTCAGTATTGAATAATTGAAACTATTCAATATATCCTAACATAATTTATCCCATCAACATTTAGTTTAATTTTTGATTTTTGTTCCATGATATCTGCAGAATAGATTTTTTTTCAATACAAGCTATGCTTCTATTTACAATTTTCTAGAGAATGCTACAATATTCATTCTTTGGGATAAATTTTTTAAAATACAAGATAACAGAACTGGACAATAAGTCAACTGCCTCTAAGGATTTAACATGTTGTTGCCTTGAATAAATTTTTTTTTTTCATTTAAGAAGCTGCTGTGAACAGAGATGTAAAAGCCTTTTGACAGCCATAGAAGAAAAGCTCATTGTCTAATCAATGGCAAAACATAATCAAAGTGGTGACTCATTTCCAATTAAAATGCATACCCCTGAGACACCCCAACTGCGAGGTCAGGTCAGGCACACGCCTCCTCCCCAGATGCATTGATATGAGCCACCCTGGACTTCTAGTGAAAAAAGAACAAGCCATCAGACTTTTCCAACCTCAAAATGAATGCCCGCTATCAAAATTGTGTAATTGTTAGTTCATCCATTGTGTGAAAATTAATGTTCCTCACACATATATCTTGAGGAGGATAATCTGGTACATATTAGTATTAAGTCTTTTATAGCAACATTTCTAAACAGAATTGTATCAAATTGTAAAGGGAAGAAGAAACCCACAGAGATTACATTATTTCACTATAATACGCAATGTGTTATACATATCACTATGGATTCACAATCAGGATTTAATATCCAGTTACTAAGTATTAACACATTTAAGATACATATGTGCTTGTATGTCTATATATTAAAGGTATATACAGTATAGCTTATGTGAATATTGGGCTCTGTATGCCAAATACCAAAGTTCTAAATATATTTCCATTACTCACAAGCTGTGTGCAAGACACTTAACTTCTGTTTGCCTTACTTTGCACATCTGTGAATGGGGATAATAGAACCTATCACAAAGGGTATGGGGTAAGTACTAAATCAGTTGTAATACATGACAACTGATTATGATGCTATTTGAAATTAAAAAGGTTATTTAAGACAACTGGTATCTATAAATACACACCTCAGTTCAAAGAGAAAACATTCCAACATTGGCTTAAAGTCAATTTTTATTAATAATTCATACTTTCTCACTGATTTCCACTTCAAAAATAGAAACATGTTCTCATGGACAGAATTCCCCCAAAATATTAAGAGGAAACATCCATGAAGCTCACGGCCACACTTTGGTGTTAGTATGCTGGCTCTATAATAGGTGGGGGCTGGAGGCAGACCCGGTTCCATCATTTGACATTTTGTGAGCATTTACTATTACTGGACAAGTGTGACAACAGGGAAATCGCCTAGGCTCCCTATCTATAAAATGGGGATAATAGCTACACCACAGCTCACCAAACTAACCTCAATGAGATATAAGATATGTCGGGGTGACAAAGTGCCTCACTCAACCGTAGCTGAATTCTGATGCCAGCTGCTCTTTCACTACCCACAGCTAACAAACACCAAAACATCTACATGCTCAGACTGCTTCTCTCCTGCCATCTCCAGGAAATAGATATTTCAAATGCTTGATGAAATCCTGAATGCACACACATATCACTTAAGCTTCCATTCAGCATCTCCACCCTTGATGAACTCAAAATCTGGCAGGAAAAATGAAAATGCAACAACACCATGAAGCACGTGTTGAAAGATGATATTTAATATGTATGAAGTGCTACGGGAACACCAAGAATGGAATGAGTAACTATGTCTGAGAGAAACCACAGCTTCACCAAGAATATGACATCTGAAGTGAATCTCAGAAGAGGGAATGATTTTTGAGGGAGAGAAAACATATTCATAAGCACTTACTTTTCACTTTGGAGGTTTATAGGCCCTGACAGAGTCAATTTCTGTTCAAAAGATACTGAAGGATACGGTTAGATGAAGCAAGGAAACCATCCATAATGGACAAGCCATGCGATATGACTACTGGCTACACTGTCCCACTCTCAGATGACTATGAGGACTTGCCAAACTAAAAGACTCAATGTATTAATGTATTGATCCAGCATCTAATACGTGTCAGTTCCCATGTTAAGACAGTGTGGAAATGAATAAATCATACGTGGTCTCAGGAAATTTATACTGAACTGGTAGCAACAGAAAATAAGTAGGAAGCCAAAAAGAAAAAGAAAAAAAAAAAAAAGGACAGCATTATGTAGTCTACCAGTCTGGATATAAATAGGTACCTAATCCAAAGAATACTGACCAATTGCCTATGAGACAGCCTGATACAAGAGCTCTGCTCAATGACAATGTTATACTCTGAGGATAAGTATTATCAGATACAATCACATCTTCCCTTTAGGGGATGAAATACAAGGTACACACGTGCGCGCGCATCATGGAGTAGAATGCTGCAAACACACAGGGAGAAACAGTGAGAAGGCAGTAAGCAGAAGCCAAGGGTATCAGGAAGCCTACCCTCTATGTGCCAAAGCATGTTCTACTGGTCCCATGAGATGTTCCACATATATGCCCCACATTCCCCACAAGGTAAGTAGAGTGGGATAAGACAAATTTGGCTTACTGCACACAACTACTGAGCATCAAAACTCCGATTTTATATTAGATATCTTGAGAAGTTCTACAGCGAAAAAACTGTGCTTCCTACCATTCAACCTTATGTTTCCCAAAATTATTAGGCTAGAGCCCACTATCTTTTTTTTTTAGGGTAGAATTGATATTTTATTGTCACTTATAATCAGATGGCAGTTGGGTATACAGTCTTCCATGTTTCATAGTTTTTGTAAATAAAAAAGTGACAAGTTTTAAATAGCCAATGGCTAGTTATATTTTCAAAAAACCTGATTAGACTAATTCATTAATGGTGGCTTCAATCTTTTCCCTACTAGCTCCAGAAAATCCATCCGTCTTTTGTCCTTTTTTAAAAAAACTGGAATGTTGGCATGCATTTGACTTCACATTCTGAAGCAACATCCTGACAGTTATTCACATTTACTTCAACAATGGAATGCTTTTCAGAGACGGAATAAAAGAAAGGCTTGATCATTTTGCAAGGCCCACACGACACGGCTGAGAAGTCCTCTACTTCAAGTTTATCTGGCAGCATCCAAGGCTTCCTGAAAAGAACACTTGCTCTCAATCGGCTTCACCATTTTGGCTGTTGGGGTCTGATGACCAACCGAACTGACAGAAATGGATCCAGGGCGCCAGACCAAGCTTGGGGGAGAACGTGCAGCCCCTCACTATCTTTCTAATACAACATTCCCCAACTTATTTCACAGCAAAATTACTGTTCTATGGACCATACCTCAAGAAATAAAGGAGAGAAAGTAAAGAAATCTGAAAATCTGAAACCTGAAATTTTCCAAAATCTGAAATTGTTTAAGCACCAACATGTCTCAAGGGAAATGTTCATTGAAGCATTTCGAATTTCGGATTTTTGGATTTGGGGTGCTCAATAATGCAAATATTCCAAAATCTCAAAAAAAATCAGAAATCCGAAACACTTGTGGTCTCAAGCATTTTGGATAAAGGATATTCATCCTGTACCACTACCTGCCCTCATGCAGATTTGGGGTCTGGTATTAGTATATCTGTTTGATTCAAAAATGTCAAAAGAAAATTCAGTTTAAACTAGTCCAAGATGAGTGCAGAAGCAAATAATTCCCATAGACAAAAATCCCAACAAATATAATCAATAATCATAAAATACACAAGGAAATGAGCCACCATTGTTGATAGTCAAAGTATCAGAATCAGATCTTCAGAAACTGCAGATAATGGAATTATCAAGTATAGAACACAAAATAAGTATGTTTTATCTGTTCAAAGAAACAAATATTTAAAATATCTCAAAGGAAATAACTATCAAAAAGTGATTTTGAAAAGAAATAGAACATCTAGAATTTAAAACTATAATAACTAAATTATAATCCAAATGGACAGAATATGACACAGCTGAAGAGAAAACCAGTGAACTGGAAGATAGAATTGAAAAAACTACCCAGAATGTGGCCAAGAAAAACAAAGAAGGAAAACGTGAAAGAACTTCACAGACATGAAGCATAAAATGAGGTGGTCTATCTTTACCTAGCAAAATAAATAAAATTAAGTTAATCTACAACCATCTTATTCCACTAATTTATTATCTGTGCTCATTAACATTTAAAAGGGTTTAACATGCATTAAAAAAAAATAGCTATAATAAAACCATCAAAACAAAACGGAAAGAAACACGAGCTAGGAAATAAAAAAAGAAGTGAGGAAAGATAATTGTAACAGAAAACCCAGAGAACTTACTCCTAAAACTAAAACCTAAATAAGTGATCTGCTTTTGGAAGCTATTTCAAAAAGGCAAACAAAATAGACAACGTATTTCTTCTTATATTTTAAAAAGTATCAGATTATCAGGAGACACACATTAAGTGCTACAGATTAATGTTCCAAGTTACATTTTATCAATGTAACGCTAATCTGCAATCAAACTTGCTCGAGTATGCTCTAACAGCCATACCATTCAGTGGCTCACAAGTTCTTTTTTTGCCTTCACACTGTTCACAGCACACTCCATAAATAATAAT